TTTTGTATTTCCCAAGCACTACAGCCATTTGGCTTAATGTTGTTTACCCTAGTTCCTTAGTTCAGTTCAATTGACTAGATGTAAGAAGTACATATTAGGTAACTGACTGTCATTACTACTATGTCTCTTTTTGGTACCCTAGGTTATGTCTTGATTGACCGGTTGCTTCATACTCTAACTTGATATGAGTGGCAGTTTCATTGCATAATCTAAAAATATAATTATCATTTAATATATCCATTTGTAAGTGTTTTCTTAAATGCCAGTGACTGGTATATAGGCCTACTTTCCTGAGTGTTCCCTTTCTAACTGTACCTTTTCCTTTTGTTTTGTGTGAACCCATTCTGATTTCATAAAGTTCAGTTTGTCTGCTTGTTCATTAACCAAAATTCTTTTGTGCCCTAGTACCCAAGATACCGTCAGGTTGTTATGTTTCCCTAACATTTAGTTTAGGAGATTCATTGATTATCTTGAATGTGACTTTTTTACGTAATAATGCTTTAAGAACAGCTTGGCTGTTCGATCTCATGAGCTTTTTGTCACTGTTCCTCTTTTTTTATGGTAGAGCATTGATAGCATGTATTTCTTGGTGAGGCCTTAACTGACTTCGATTTATGCTGATTCATTTCCAACCAATTGTTAATCAGCATAGACGTTTGTGAAATAATACTGGGTGATTTGAGAATGGATTGAATTTTATCAGTGGTTGAGTTAGTTGTGATTTATGCTATCTATCCCACGCCACCCACTATAAAATATTCAGGTTTCAAGAGTATATTTTACATGTAAAATATCGGAGTAGAATAAATTTAAACAATCCTGTTGTATTATCATGTGGGATCATCCTAAACACAAGTTGGGATTCTGTAATAGCTTCCTCTTTTCGGTTGGATACTTTTGGCGTTCAAACCATGTGCTTTCACTCTGCTTTCTGTTCATCACTTATCGCTCATCTGCCACGGCTCGGATAACAGATGAAACTACGCTCTACGTGGAAAACCCATTTCACGCTTTTCGGTCCTCGTTCTTTTTTTCGGTTGACAATTATTCCTTGTAACCCACCCTAATGTTAACTATATTTATTTTAGAAAAAAAAACGTATTTACACAAAGAAAAGTAAAAGTAATCCTTCATGCAGTACAGAAAATAAATTATAAAAAGAAAAGTGATTTTATGAAGATCAGCTCCAATAACTTTTCACACGTAACATAAAACTCTTCCTTTTCAACAGTAGTCATAAAACACTTTATAAGCATTCACATGATAATTATCATCAAAGACAAATATTTACATTTTTAACATGGTACAAAAATTTTCGAGAAAAAAGTTGCTGGATTATTCAAAACTTTTTTCAAATATCAAAATTTTATGACAATCTGTAATTGTTGGTTACATGGTTACATTTTCATGTAATTTGATGATACATAGCTATATTTAAAACTATTTAAATCTTTACATCTATCACATATTCAATATTATCTCCCTCTTCCCTACGTACTTGTAAAAAGGAGGTCGCAGGGCCTTTCCTCTTAAGACGGCATAGGGGCTTGTAGTGAATGTAGCGAACTTGGTAAATTTTTGTGGAATTAAGTTTTGGTTAAATGGGATTTTAAGGTAGTGTGGAGGGCAGTATTGGAGACATAATACGTAACATTTATATGTGATCTGAAGACTTTAGATTAAAAGGATTGGTGACGTGCGACGTGGTGGGTTTAGTAGTTCCCCATAGTTTTATATTGTATGGCCAAATCGGTTGTAGTAGCGTTTTGTAAAGTGTAATTTTGTTTTCCATCTATGGCTTGATTGTCGTCCTATAAATTTGTAAAGTTAACCGTAGCGTCAGTGTAGGCCTTGTCGTTTCAGTCGTGTATACTTAATGCATAATTCAGAACCATTTAGACAGAATAGAATATTTATTGTTCAAGAAATCAAAACAAATCCTTTCATACAAGTAATACGTAAAGTATACGACTTAAGAACTATTACATCATTTACAACGAGATGTAAACGTTGTTGACATTCAATCCATTATATTTCGTGGTCCGATTGACCAAATAACGTCTTTCAATTAATTAATCTTTATATAAGGTATTGGTTGAAATGAAAAAGTTAGTGTCACGAGCGGGATTCGAACCCACGACCTTCGGCTAAATACGCCGCTGCTCTACCACTTGACCTATCTTGACTTCGATACAGGGGTGGTAGAGCAGCGGCGAATTTAGCCGAAGGTCCTGGGTTCGAATCCCGCTCGTGACACCAACTTTTTTATCTCAGCTAAAACTTTACATAAAGATTAATTAATTGAAAGAAATTTTTGACAGTGTTTTCCTTTCTCAAAGTTTATAAAATTAAAATAACTTAAAAAATAAATTAGAAAACACTAAATTTTTGAGCTATTCATTCTACATATTATTTTATCAAGTATTAATAGTAACAATACTAATTTAATAGATACTCAAATTTAATTATGTAAAATGTTTTAATAAAAGTAATCAAACGATCAAAAGTAAAAAGGAAGTAATCAAAATTTAAATTTACTTCCTTAAATCAATTTTTCCTCTAAGTCACGTAATATTTTACTTGTTGGGCGAACGATCAGGAAGATAATTTTCGATTTCCTTTGCAAGGGAAAAACATAAATTAGATGGCATACGTGCGATGTGTAATCATGTAATTTTAATGATTTTCAAGCATTGAAGTCATTTTTTGTTAACGTTTGTTTCAGCCAGTATTACATCATAAAAATCGGGATTTTTCCTTGTGGCAAAGAGACCATTTAGTCTCAAGTGATCTACAATCTCCATAATTGTTTATTCTAGGTGATTACTCATTGTTTTCTCTCGTTCACATATTATTGCAGGTTTATAAATGATGTGGGAGGTTCATGGGCAGAAAAGTAGCTAAAGTCTTTTTTTAAAAAATGCAGCCATTTAAGCCTCTCGATCTGTTACCGACTCTCTGTTTTTATGAAGTATTGTTTACATCGTTTTACACTTTGGTCGTAGTTTTCTTCTTTTCAAAACGTTTGGAAGTAGCAATGTTCCAAATAAATGTGATTACAAAAAGTATCTTTTACTTTTTTTTCTCTTTGGTCATCCTTTCCTTCTGTTTAAAACTTTTAGAAGCAGCTATGTTCCAAATAAGTGTGATTACAAAAAGTATCTCTTACTTCTTCTTTTCTTTGGTCGTTGTCTTCTTCTTTTCAAAACTTTTGGAAGTAGCAATGTTCCATATAAGTGTGATTACAAAAAGTATCTTTTACTTCTTTTTTTCTTTGGTCGTCCTTTTCTTCTGTTTAAAACTTTTAGAAGCAGCTATGTTCCAAATAAGTGTGATTACAGCAATTCACCCTGTATACTTGCATACAGTTTGCGATCATTTTGATTTTATATTCTTACCGTTTTGGTTTGTTAGAAATACCAAAAAACACGCTTTACCACCTTTTATGTACGAGGAATATAGTTTTCTTTTTTTCAATAAACATTCTCACGATTAGACCCATATGACAAGGATAGGACACTTCCAGCAGGCCCCGATGATATTCTACTCTATATTCTTGTTCGAAGCTTTGTAAGTTTCTGAAAAACAGGGGCAGCATCACTCGTCCATCTCAGGGTGATGCAATTTATCTAACAGTATTAAAGAAAGAAACGGATGGAAAGGAGAACGGGTTTCATATCTAAATGTTTTATTGCGTTCAATAGGCGAGGTGATCAAAAGGAATCCGGGATCGCTTCACGCTCAGAAAGAAATTGGTGCAATAGGACGCTCAACCCGGGATACCGGTGAAATACTTGAACCTTTTCTGGCGTAAATAATGAAAGCCGTTTACAGTTGGCAAGAAAAACTCTAAAATATTGTAGCAAAAAAGAACTCATAAACATGATCAAAGATCTTACGTTATGTTTTTTCGTTCGGGGATTCGGTCGAAATCTTCTTCAGGGCTTCTTAACATTATCAGTCAAAATTTTTCACATTTCTCATGTTTGTTTATTTACTTTTTACTACTGGCCAGTTTTTATATGTTCAATAAACATACAATAAATATACGTTTGGTTTGTCAGGAGGTACTACTCTTAGCCAACTTTTCTTTATTTATGTTCGTTCGTAATAATTTGCAAATCTGACCAAAATCGAATTTATTAATTAAAAATTGCTATTTTATATAAAACACAACACCTGAAACCAATTTGGTTACAGGACAATTCCCAAGGTTATTTCTAGGTTCTAAATATCGGGTTGTCCGGAAAATAATGCAGGATTTTAAGTTTTCATTTAAAAAAATCTATATAAAATATTCTGTTTACGTTTACAGGATTACTCATTTGTATNCGTTGTCTTCTTCTTTTCAAAACTTTTGGAAGTAGCAATGTTCCATATAAGTGTGATTACAAAAAGTATCTTTTACTTCTTTTTTTCTTTGGTCGTCCTTTTCTTCTGTTTAAAACTTTTAGAAGCAGCTATGTTCCAAAGAAGTGTGATTACAAAAAGTATCTCTTACTTCTTTTTTGCGTTTTTACTTCTTTGGTCGTCGTTTTCTTCTTTTTAAAACTTTTAGAACTAGCTATTATCCAAATAAGTGTGATTACAAAAAGTATTTTTTACTTCTTTTTCTCTTTGGTCGTCGCTTCCTTCCTTTTTAAATCCTTTCGAAATGCTTTTATAAGAAAACTAAGTCGATATACTAAAATGCTAGCTTCTCGTTTATACTTGTAGAGTAGCCACTAGACATACCAATATATACATCCTATACAAACGTAGAAAGAAGTCTGGTCAAATTCATTCTCCCCAAAGCACTCGATATTCTTCGGGTCGGGGTTGATTCCACATCATTCTCACTTGTAACTTACTTTTACTCCCCATATGTCATTCATTCACTTACCCCAGAGCACTAGATATTCCTCGGAGCGGGGGTCGAAAACCCGTATTTCAGGTTTAAAATAAGAGTCAAACAATGTTATTGATTCAAAAGCTTTTATTGTTCGTTATTATGTTACAAAAAAATAATGTTGAATAATTTGGCTAAAATAATCGTATAGCCTCTTAAATATAAATGATAAAACTGAAATAACTTACCTATAACGAATGGTACAATCCATGCAATTCATAACATTAAAAAAAATGATTCTAATGTGATTCAGGTAAACTAAGAATAATGCAATAATGGTAGTTTAAAATCATAACTTAAAAAGTGAAAAGTAAATGCCTGGGCAAATTACAAAAATATATATACAAAATTGTTTATTAAAAATTAAATGTGTAGTTAGTGTAATAAGGATCCTGAGCTATCGAACTTTTTTATTTATTTAAAAAAATACAACTTAAAGAAATGGTTCTGTCCAGTATTTGATAGTCGGACCGACTACTTGGGGTGGAATGCATCTTTCGATGACACCGGTCGTTCTCACTTTGTTCCTCAACTTGACGTCCTTCGGTTTTGTGACGTTTCTGTGATTAGTCATGAGCCTGCTTGGCGTCATGATTGATTTTTGACTCAACCCTGTTGCCTCGAGAAAGTTATCGTAGCTGACCCCGGGAGATCCTTCTTCCTTCTCTTTCTCGGTTTTTTTCTGCTCCTCTTCTTCTTTCTTTATTCCTAAATCTTCGAACCTGCGTACCATCTGTGAAACGGTCGGTTTTATTTCCTCCTTCGCCCCTTGCGAAGTGAGCAGAGTGGCGACCGGCGATGCGACTTTTATCATATTGGGCATACCGACTTTTGGCGGGGATTTGAAACCGAACGCAGTCCTCGTCGGGCTTTCTTGAATGCTGACTTTGAGCACTCCGCTGGAAGATCGAGGAGGCGTAAACATGTTATTGTAATCGATGTTTGCATTTTTTTTAGGTTTATGGTTAGGATGTAATAAGCCAGTCGGTATGTCACTGTGATGATTCCTCTCTTTGTGAGGTTTTATATGCAACCCCGTCACATCCAAAGTCCTCCCTCTTAACTGTTTGACTATTTCGTCGTCAAGAGCGGAGTTAGAAATGACATAAAGATCTTTATCTCCGTGATCTATCGGTTCTAGAATAGACAAAGGAATACCGAGTTGATCCTGAGAGATTTTATGGAACGGTTTGTCCGAAAACTCGACTTTTTTATTCTGAATTTTCGGTTTTGGAGGTAAAGGAGGGTTTATTCTGATCCTATCTTTGTCCAATTCGGAGAACGACGCTGATTTTTTCGATTGATTAGTGTCTTCTTCTTGCATGTCTTCGTCGAGAGGCGAATCCTCTTCGTCCATCCACACCGCGTGCCGCCTAGGATCCTTCTCGTCCTGTCTCAACGAGCGCTCCTCCAAAAAATCCTCTTGGTCCTTCAACAAAATCTGGTTTACGCACTGGAGCACCGGGTTGTCCTGGTACTTATCCGATTCTTCACCTTCGGGGATTCCAGTCGAAATATCCGGAACGCTTTTCGAAATCGGTGAAAACGACCCGCTGAATTTCGATACCGGGGAAAACGCGCTTAGGTCATGGACGTTTAAAACGCCTTTGGCCTGCATGACTGTGTAATCGCTTTCGTCTCCCAGGCAGGAACGAGTGCTCTCGGAAGACAGTGAATCAGGCTCTTTGCTTAAGTCGCTGATCCCTAATGAGCTGATAAGATCCGGTTTGGCATACTCCCTAAACACATCTTCCTCTTCCTCTACCTTAGTCTCCTCTTTGATTTCTTTACGAGGTTCCTCTTTGCCTTCTTTGAGCCTTTCAATCTCCAGCTTTTGGTTGTTAATTATATTGTCCTTTTCGGCTAGAAGGACTTTGATGCTCTTCTGTTCTCGTCTCAACCTGGCCTCTAAAACGAGCAGGGCGCGGAGCAGGCTGCTCAACTGTTTTTCTCGCTGTTCCCTGAAAGCGCGCATTTCGGCATCCTTCTCGGCCAACTTTTTTGTAAAAGCGGCGACCAGGTGGCGGCATCTCGCCGTCTGAACTTTCAACGCTTTCTTCGTTGACTCCAACTCCCTCCTTGTAGCTTTCAATTCCCCTTCCATCTGTAAATAAAAAGAAAAAGGTTAAAATAATGAAGTGTATTTTAAATCGATAAAGCTATGTAGAGGTTCAATAGGTAACACGAATCACAGACCATCTGGTCTCTCCTGGCTAGTTTCTAAAGAGAACCAATTTTGAATAGCCTTGTATATCCATTCACAGAACGTTTACAGGTCCATAATGATGATAATGGATACAAAAGCCTAAATCGTAGCGGCCTTGTGGCGCCCACACTTTTTGGTTCTTCTTTGCCATTTTCAAACAGTATGCGCATGATAAAACCTCTGTCAGACTTGAAAACGCGATATTCCTAAGTGTACTGCTTTTCTCAAAGAATATTTACACGGAACAGGAATAGAACTGTGGTTTGTGCAATCAGGAAATTACCGAAGCTTTGACAAAGAAACGCCCTTTAATGGAAATCTGGACTTATTAACGCTTGTCAAAAGCCATTTACTTGAACTTCGACCTTAATTTTATATAATGCGAAAAAGTAGTGTCAGAACAATTTTATGAACCTTTGATAAAGTCAGAGAAGATCTAACAAATTTAAAACAATAAAATCGATGTAAAACCTACATAATTATTATGCTTAACTGATAGAGATTAACTTAACTGAGATAGAATTTATAAATTTTGCAGACAAAAGTCATAGATATAAGCCATTTTAAGATGAACAACGAGATGGAAGTTATAACGGTCTAATTTTTTATCGTGCTGTATCCAGCCCTATGTTCAGCCAAATCTTCACCTTCGGCATGTGCTATTCAATAGCCTACCTTAAAACAGGCCGCGTCTGTTATAAGAAACCGCTTGATTGTTTTTTGTTGTTTAACAGCCGAATAGCAGGAAGTTCTGGGATCCCATAAAGACCGTGAAAGTAGTATCTGGCCGGGTTAGAGGAAGAAAGTCTGTCGATTTCGTCAAAAATCGCGGCCGTTCCCCTGGAAGTCAATTGCGAGATGTGTTCTGCCCGGTTAATGCCATGGCATTTTCTTCTTTCTCTCGTCCCCTTCACCGTCTCCGTCGAATGAGGTCTGATATTATCGGGCGTGAAATAAAGCGGTTTCTTATCTCAACGTTGCTCAAATAGATGACGATAGCGCAAAAAAACTTGTTAGCCAGGCATAAAGCGGAAACGCATTCGATTGTTATCGTAAAGAGAGACAAGTTGAGGTCGTTAGTATTGAAAAGCTAGCTCACAAATCTTACAGATATTTGATTCTATGTCCCTTGACTTCTTGAGTCAATTGCGGCATCTTTTGGCTAATGGATTTTATAGCAATAAATTTTGATCTTCACAAAACTGGATCAACCAATTGAGGGTGCAGGAAATATGTAGGACGCGTGTCGGTACAGAAGGAGGACGTTGATTAACCATTTCTTTCCCTTTGGTTTATTTTCCTTTAGAATCTGGATTCCGCTATGTACCGGATGAATATAAAGAAGCCCCCGACGGCGATTACTTTCGAATGCTGCCATTGTCCTGATCTTTATATCGTGACCATTGTTTCAATATATGTATAACTGGTCCGTTGATTAAGGCTTTCGATCGTGTCCACTTGTTGACCGCAATGTAATAACCATTTTCAGTTTTAGTATTAGTTTGCAACCTATTCGGAAGTATTTTGTTTTTTAAATTGTCTTTAATTGATTTTTACATCTGCATTCATTTGATGCAATAAGCAAAACAGATAAAATGCTACATATCAATTTATTTACGTTTTAGTGGTCAATTGACCATGTTACGTCTTTTAATTAATTATTCTTTCTATGTAAGGTCTTGGTTGAGATAAAAAAGTCACTGTTACAAGCGGGATTCGAACCCACGACCTTCGGGTAATACTACGCAACTCTATCAATTGAGCTATCGTGACCTTTACGAATTTTCCCTCTTTTTGCCCTTTTTCAAATGCCGTGTAATTGGATTCCCAGGAACTTAAGAGGTGGCCACGGGGAGCTGTTTAGTGAAGTGATACTTCTTTTAAGTATTAAATATTAATCCATTTACGTTTTTGTGTCAATTGACCAAGTTACTTCTTACAATTCATTAATCTTTATGTAAGGTATTGGTGAAATGAAAAAGTTAGTGTCACGAGCGGGATTCGAACCCACGACCTTCGGCTAAATACGGCTACCACTTGGGCTATCGCGGCTTCGATCCACTTGGACACCAACTTCCCATCTCACCCCCTCCGTGGCTATTTCATTAGTCGCCGAGAATCGAAAAGTTTACACGACTTTTGAAAAATGGCAAAAAGGAGGGAAAATTCGAAAGGTGAGGTTGAGAGTGGAAGTTAGTGTACGAGTGGATCGAAGTCACGATAGCTCAAGTGGTAGAGCAGCGGCGTATTTAGCCGAAGGCCGTGGGTTCGAATCCTGCTAGTGACACTTTTTTATCTCAACCAATACCTCACACAAAGATTAACTCTTTGAAATGTTATCCGGAAGAGCCGAATAATTTAGGGAATCCTAAACGAAGAGATTTTCTATGGAAGATAATTTAATCGGTGTGGCTAATTGTCTAGGAAGTCTATTAACGGATATAACGGACGAAGTATTATTTTGTCATCTAGTAACAAAAATAAAATTTGTTTGATAAAATAATTTAGATTACAAGAGTGGATGGTTGAATGAAGGTGTTAATCAGTTTTGGCTTATGATTTTTTAATATTTCTATCGTTCGTATCTAAGGGTTTTGGTTTGTAGTAAAACATACTATGTCAGGTTTGTATTTTGTAACTGTTATATGCATATAAAATGTATATGTGCAAATTACTGGTAATTGTTGTCGAATTTTGTTATATCACCTAGCGAAGTGTGCCACTCACGCTGTCATGACAATTTCCTTGAAGCAATTAGGCAATGACAGGATTTCTGAAAACCACCGTCACCGACAACTGGAAATTTATTCTACCAAGCGTACAGATTGAAATGAAAATTTGTATTTTCATACAGGGTTGTTTTACATGTTTTGACCAAACGTCACGACGACGAGAAAGAGCCGTGGGAAACTGAGTGGCGAGGGGGCGAAATTGCACGACGGCTAACCCGGTCTCACCTTGAAAAACGATTGCGCACGTCGGAATTTTGTTTGCATACCCTATTGGAATCGAGGAGGATCGTTGACCCGTTTATACCAGACCGCAGACCGGTGCAGTCCTGGAAAAAAAATTGCAACGCCCTTGACAACTGCCCGGACACGCTAATTTCGAACCGTTCTGTTTTGTCTCACAATGGCCCAGATTTCGAGACGTCCAAACTCTGGCATGTTAACACGCACACAGTTAACACTTCACCAGGAATTTCCCTATCGCAATATGTTTTTTTGCCAGCTTTGGTGTGGAAAGTTGTAACAATTCCGGGTGAGGCTTGTGAGGTGAGATATTCGAAAGTCTCCGTGGCGAAATCGTTGTGGGTGTCAGTATAAATGGCCTCACATTGTCTTTTAAAAAAAGATAATGCCTCAGGGGCGATCTCCGATGAAATATTATACCAAATCGTGCTTTTTTCCGCTTTCCCGGCAGATAAAGCTATTCCGATGTTGACGGGGAAAAACATGATAAAGGCGTCATTTAATACTTTAAAACATTGACATATTCTTGTAAATTCAATTCCACTGTCATAAATCTAGCAGAAAGTGACATACTAATTGTAAATAAATACATTGTAAATCAATAATATCGACAGTTGTATTAGGTTGTATTAAAACAATTCACTTAATCTGACAAACGGATAATACGGACCAGGTAGACTGAAGTTAAGTTTAATTGCAATTAATTTATAAGTTATTAATTATGGTGTTTAGGCACTAAAAGTAAAAATTGTAATAATAATATATTAATAATTTTAGATTTTTTAAAATTATTTTAGTTGCGCTCTATACATATTAGGACATATTACGAATGTTATCACAAAACGATTGACCATATGGCCACAGCACTAACACAGGTGTGCATAGTGCTCTCATAGGACATGCCATGAGAAACCAGCCAATGGTGGAACTCAGAGTATAGGATTAATGGGGAAGTAGGTCCAGAGAGCATCGCCCATTAAGGCAAAATGGCGGGTTCTCTGGATGGGTAGAGAGGGCTCGAGTAGCGATGGAACGAGAGGTTAGTATGAAACTTTTAGGATCGGGAATGGATCGGTTCTTAGACAAAAGGAATGCTGAAGTCGTTGTGAATAGTGAGACGATTTGTCCTAGGACTTTTGATCGGAAGAATTGGACACCCTGGATGTTGGATGGCTTGGCAGAACTCGACATTTCCACTCCACTCCGTATAGTCTTAAGTATCGAATTGATTAAAAGTAGCTTGTTTGTGCATGTACAGTCGAGGGGGTCAAAGGTATTTCCTGATTCACTCTTGTCTTTTACTTTATCTCCAGTCTTTGATAATCTGAAGTAATCTTGCATTTTGGAGGATGCTTGGTTAGAAGAGAGAAATGCGGTGTCGTCCGGTGGTTATTATGTTGGGTTGTGCAGGGAATTCAGTAGTATAATGATATACAGGATAGTAATAAGAATGCAACCTTGTCGGTTTCGGATAGCTTGAGGGAACCCAACTCCATAAGTTCAAACACAAAGTGGATGCTGTATAGTGTACAGCATAGAGTAGTTGAATTTTAAAGGTCAAAACAGATTTCCTAAAAGTCTTCGTAGTTGTCCAAGTTTTCTGTTAAGTTGTCTCTTAAGTCTTGTGTGGGGATTTCACGTTAGCCTGCTGTCTAGGTATGGTCTATTTGACTTGAATGGAAATCGGTATATCTTTATTTTAATGTACACGAAGCAAAACTATTGTTCAAAATAAACGTACACTGAATTCATTTTTATTCAGTCTTCTCCTTCACATTTTGCACCAGTCTTCGATTAGCTCATGATGTTCGTGGACGATGGAGGTTAGATAGCATTCCAGTGAGAGGTCAAAATTGCCGTATCGTCCGCCTATGTGATGGCATTAGTGTGTATGGGTAGGTCAACAATATAAATGTTATAAAGAAC